GTCAACATTCACTTTGTGTTCTGCTTGTTCTGTTCATTGTAACCATTTTTAAGTATACAGCTCAGTGGCATTAATTATATTCACAATGTTGTGAAACCATCACCACTACTCATTTCCAGAAGTTCTCCATCAAATGGAAACTTTGTACTCACCAAACAATAACTCTCTACTCCTACTTCCCCTAGTCACTAGGCAACCACTAATCTACTTTCTGATTTGCCTATTCTGGACATTTTATATAAATAGGATCATGAAATACGTGATCTTTTTTGTCTGGCTTTCACTTAGCATGATGTTTTCAAGGTTCATCCATGTTGTAGCATGTATGGGAACCGCACTTCTATCCAAAAAAACCAAACCCACTGCCATCCTATAGGACAGAGTAGAACTGCCCCACAGGGTTTCCAAGGAGCGCCTGGTGGATTCTAACTGCTGACCTTTGCTTAGCAGACAAACACTTAAATCACTGAGCCACCAGGGCCCCTTTCTCCTATAGACTTTTAAAATTAATTTTTTTCTATTCAAAAATATATACTGAGTTTCTGCTGTGCGTCCCATGCTGTGTTGTGTCTGAGCATAAGGAATCAGTGGACAAAGCAGAGGCGGTCTCTGTTCTAACAGAGTTTGCCTTCTAGTGGAGGGAGACACATAGTAAACAAGATCATTACAGGATACGGCCAAAGATACAGTAGAAAATCAATGACATGAAGTGAAATAGCAAGAGGGTAGGGAGAGGAGCTTGGCAACATCAGAAGGTCCCAGCAGTTCCTCTAAGGTCCACGTAGAGAAATGCAACTCATCACCTTCCACAAATCATTCCTTTTCTATTTTCCAAATCTGTTACAGCAAGAAACCATAAATTATCCTAGACCAGTGCTGTACGATAGAACTTTCTACCATGATGTAAATGTTCTTTATCTGTGCTGTCCAGTGGTAGCCACTAGTCACACAGGAAGTAGCCCTGGTGGTGCAATGGTTATACGCCGGCCGCTAACTGAGAGGTTGGCAGTTGGAGCCCACCCAGTGGCTCCATGGGAGAAAGACTTGGCAATCTGATCCTGTAAAGATTATAGCCAAGAAAACCCTATGCGGCAGTTTTACTCCATCACACGGGGTCACTGTGGGTCAGAAATCAATTCAAGGACACCTAACAAGAAGTCACATGAGGCTAATGAACACTAGGAACATGGCTACCATAAAGAACTGAATTTTAAAATGTAATCTTAAATAATTTAAAGTTCAAACCCCTCTTTCTGTCACTTGTAAGTCTGCCGATTTTATGGAACCACATATATTTTAAACCTCGTAAGACATAACTATTATTGTCATGGAGCCCTGGTTGCGCAGGGGTTAAGAGTTCGGCTGCTAACTGAAAGGTCGATAGTTCAAACCCACCAGCTGCTCCTTGGAAGCCCTATGGGTAGGTAGTTCTACTCTGTCCTGTAGGGTCACTATGAGTGGGAATCAGCTCGACAGCAATGGATTTCAGGTTTTAGTATTGTTATAGTCAGTAACATTAATACTCATTTATTCTTTCTATAGCTCTTCATTCCGTCTTGAAATTTCCACATCCCCTGCTGGGATCATTTTCCATCTGCCTTGTGGATTTTCCCGTTTTCTGTTACAAGTTCCTAGTTTCATTCCATTCTGGTCAGGGATGACATTTTTATGACTTCAGTCTTCTAAATGTATTGAGACTTGTTTTGTGGCCAGGAGCTCTGGTGGCACAGTGGGTAAAGTGCTCGGCTGCCAACCGAGAGGTCAGCAGTTTGAACCTACCAGCTCCTCCATGTGAGAGAGATGTGGCAGTGTGCTTCCATAAAGATTACAGCTTGGAGACCCTATGAGGTCGCTACGAGTTGGAGTTGACTCATGATAGGGTTTGTTCTTGTGGCCTAACATACAGCCCTATCCTGGAGACTGTTCGTGTGCGCCTGAGAAGGATGTGCGTTCTGCTGTTGTGGGGTGGAAATTCCCATAAATGTCTGCTAAGTCTAGTTGGTCTATAATGTTGTCAAGTCCTCTGTGTTCTTACTGATGGTTTCTAGTTGTTCTATCCATTACTGAAAGTGGGGTGTTTAAGTCTCCAACGATTATATGCTGTTGTTAGGTGCCATGGAGTCTGTTCCAACTCATAGCAACCCCCTGCACCACAGAACGAAACACTGCCCAGTCCTGTGCTGTGCTCACAGTCATTGTTATGCTTGAGCCCACTGTTGCGGCCACTGTGTCAGTCCATCTCTTTGAGGGTCTTCCTCTTTTTCACTGACCCTCTACTTTACCAAGCATGATGTCATTCTCCAGGGACTGATCCCTCCTGACAGCATGTCCAAAGTATGTGAGATGTAGTCTCGCCATCCTTGCTTCTAAGAAGCATTCTGGTTGTACTTCTTCCAAGACAGATTTGTTCGTTCTTTTGGCAGTCCATGGTGTATTCAATATAAATTGATATGAACCTTATAAACAGCTTATATAGAAGTCTATTATTGTTAGATGCCGTTGAGTCAGTTCCCACTCACAGCAATCCCACGTACAACAGAACGAAACACCACCCAGTCCTGCGCCATCCTCACAATCATTGCTATGTTTGAGCCCATTGTTGCAGTCACTGACAGACAAGTGGTGAAGTCTATTTCTCCTGTCAGTTCTGTTGGTTCTTGCTTCATGTGTTTGGGGGCTCTGTTGTTATGTATAATTGTTATATCTTCTTGATAAGTTGACCATTTTATCAGTATACAATGGCCATTACTAAAAATATACTTTCTATCCCTCTCTTCTCCCCTTCCCCCGCAAGACTCCCATTATATGAATGTTGGTTCCTGGTGGTGTCCCACAGGTCTCACCAGCTTTGTTCATTTTTCTTCATTCTTTTCTCTTTCTGCTCCTCAGATTGGATAATCTCAATTGACCCATTTAATTTTGCTGATTCTTTCATCTTCTTGCTTAAATCTGCTGTTGGACTCTAGTGAATTTTTCATTTCATTGTTATACTTTTAGCTCCATAATTTCTATTAATATTTGTTCCTTTTTGTAATTTCTCTTTAGTGATATTCTCTATTTGATCAGACATTGTTCTCCTGGTTCCCTTTCGTCCTTTGTGTCCACGGTTTTCTTTAGCTCATTCAGCATACTTAAGACAGGTGATTTAAAGTCTTTGTTAAGTCCGACACCTGGGCTTCCTCAAGGGCTGTTATTTTTTCTTGTTTCTTTGCATGTCACATCTTTTGTTGTTGAAAACTGGACATTTTGATTACATTGTGGCAGCTCTGGAAATCAGATTGTCTCCTCACTCCCCAGGGTTTGTCACTGTTGCTTGTTTGGGGGTTATTGTTCAGTAACTTTTGTTAAAGTCTGTGTATTTTTTTGTCATGTGTGGTCACTGACGTCTGGGTTAACTTAGTGGTGCGTGGTGTTTTGACAGTGTCCTTAAATACCTGCAGCTAAGATGTCTCAATGGGAGATGGGCTGTGCTGGGCCACTCCTCAGTACTGTGCTGTGCTCAGAGTCATTGTTATGCTTGAGCCCACTGTTGCGGCCACTGTGTCAGTCCATCTCTTTGAGGCCTTAGCTTTCACTTCCTGCATCACTGAGCCTGAAGTTCCGTGGAGGTGAAAGCTTAGGGTCTTCTTGATTCCCCGACATACACACATGGATTTCTTTTAAAACTCTTATTCCCGCCTTCTCTTTTCCCAACCCTTCTTCTCAGGTCTTTTGGCCTGTTGCTCCTACAGACTGTTCTCCCTTCCCTCAGGCTGCAGCAGCCAATACTTTTGCCTTTAAATGCTTTTGGCAAAAACCGCCAGGAAGCCATCCCATCCCTGGGAACGCAGAGGTGGGCAAAACAGATCCTGTACAAGCTTCTGCACTGGTCCTTGAGGGAAGTCACCAGACAGGTCCACACACCACCACAGTTGAGCATGGCTCCCTCTGCAACTAGCAGGCACCAGGTGTGGAGCAGAGGGCTAGAACGAGGTGAGAACTTACACAGCCACTGGCCATCCCTTGGCATTGGAGGGCCGTTTCCAAACTGAGGGACAGCTGATTATTCTGGAAGTTTTGAGGGCAACTATGAGGAATGTAAGAAAGGCAAATCATCAAGAGGGCCTCATTTAGCCTTGGAAATACATCTAAGACTTCCTGATATTTAGAGCCTCATGGCATTTTATACTGCGAGTTGTTTTTCCTAAGAAACTGTTTCTATACCTTTACATTTAATACTTAATACATGGCTACTTCCACGTATTAAACTGATCAAGTTTCCCCCAACTTCAGCAACTAAAAACGAAGCCTCATGGGTGGCACAAACTGTACTCATCTGCTAACATAAATGTTGATGGTTCCAACGCATCCATTGGCACCACAGAAGAAAGGCCTGGCAATCTGCTTCTGTAAAGATCACAGCCAAGAAAACCCTATGGAGCTCAAGCTCAGTTTTACTCTAACACAGAAATGATTTGATGGCTACAGGTTTGGGGCTTTGGCCGAGGCTGTCCTGGGGCAGCATGGCAACCAGACTGGCCCCAGCTGTGGTCTTGAGGACAAATCAAGACAGGCAAACCTGGAAAGTCATAACCTATACCTGATTTTAAACAAACTTAGATAATAAGGTTTGAATGGGTAAACTGAGTTTACTTTTTGGAATCTTCTTGGCCTGGGAATTTTAACTACTTCTCATTAGCATTGAAATTAGATTCCCTTTTACAAATGAATTCTTCATGGACAAGACTGGGGCAAAAGGGAAAGACATTATCTATGGGATGAATGTCAGTACATCAGCAACTCTGACAATTGTGCAAATCTGCAGTGTCCAATACAGTAGCCCCTTGGTGCGTTAGACTTGATATATTTAAATCCAAGTGCTCAGTGGCCACACGGGGCCAGTGGCTCTGACTATGGACAGCGCAGATGCCACAACTTCCATCCTGAAACATTCCATCGGACCGTGCTGCCTAACCTTTGGTGGCCCTGGGCGGAGAAAGTACTGCCGGGTTGTGCTATGACTCAGACTTGTATTTTCCCACTGGAGGCCGCACAGAACTTTCCTATTGAAGACTGGAGGCTGCCCTGCTCTCTTAAGAGGGCAGCGCAAGGAACAAAGAATAAGTCGCGTAGGCTCCACACAGTCACCACCATACCAAATTTATTATTCCAATGGCACTGACACAGCTGGAGGTGCTCACGATGACACCACACACAACTTCCTGCCTTCTAGTTTCTGTCCACAGAGAAATGTCTACCCTTGTCCCTTCCTCCTTTCTGGGGGAGGGAAGTCCACTATGGGCCATTCACCCAAATAAACCTTTTAATGCGTTAATTTTAAATTTTTTTGGATGTTTGAGTTTCCCTCTGAAGAAACGGGAAAAAAAAGTGTCAGGTGTCCCACCCCCACCAGCCAAATAAGTCCCTGCAGAGAGGCCATTTCCGCGGCCCTCTGAAATCTTGAAATAAATATCAGGAAGAACGGCATCAAGTGTGGATGTTGGGGCGATGGCACAGAGTGGTCCCCGACGCCACGCGGAAGGGCAGGCGGGCCGGGGTGACGTCTCCAGGCGTGAGAAGAACGTGATGACGTGGGGCTGTGGACACGCACTGGCCGAGTCCCACCCAGGGCTGCCGGCCGCTGCCGCGAGCGAGGGCCACCTACAATTTGTCCAGGAAGTTGTCCAGGGCCGGGATGCCCTCCTTCAGGCCTTTGCGCTTGCGGGTCTCGGCCACCACCTGGCTGGGGCGGCTGGTGGTGTCGAAGGGGTCTCCGGGCAGGATCTGCCAGTGGTCGAACACACACTGGGGGAAGGCCTGGCCGCCCGTGTTAGACCTCAGGTCAGCCGTGAAGCCTGCGGGAGGGGCGGCGGGTGTCACCAGGCAGCCAAGGTGGCCACACTCAACACAGCGCCCTGCCTGGGCCTCCCTCCCTTCCCTTCCCCCTCCCCATGAAGCTGCTCCACCTGCTGTGGGCTTAATCCTTAATGAACTGCAGACCAGCAGGCCTTTCCGTCCCCAAGAAAGCTTCTTATCCCCACAAACTTAGTGGTCTGGGGTCCATGCAGGTACCAGGACTAGGCACCTCCTTCACAACTGCACCCCCACCCCCCACCCCCACGGAGGGCAGCCCGCTGGTGCCATATGCCACTGGGCAGACTCTGCAGGACGCCGGCTGCCGTCAGGCCCACCTCCTTTATTGTGGCCTTGCGTGAAAACCTTCTCCTCCTCTGAAATCAGACCACACTGGCCAGCACTTACCAAATGACTCGTTGACAGGCAGGTAGGCCTTCACGACAAACATGGGGGTGCCGGCCACCTGGGACTCCTCGAAGACATGGCCTCGTTTCCTGTTCAGGACACCATAGATACCACCGACCACTTGCTCTGGACACTGTCAGGGAGAGAGAGGCTCTTAGCGGCTCCCTCAGCGGGACAGCCCCGGGAACGTGGACAGAAGGCCCAGCCTCCCTCACCTGGATCTCCACAAGGTAGATAGGCTCCATGAGGCGGGGCTGGGCGGTCAGCACACTGGCATAGAGGCAGCGCCGGGCTGTGGGGATGATCTGCCCGCCACCACGGTGGATGGCATCAGCGTGCAGGGTCACATCATGGACATCAAAGCGCACACCCCGCATGTTCTCCTCACACAGCGCCCCCTGCAAGGCAAGCCAGAGAACACCATCAGGCCAAGCACACCACCCCAGCAGCCCCGTACCCACGAGGAGGCAGGCCTGCCCCCCACCCCATGCCACTCCTCCCGTGCCTTCCCAGAGTCCCTTTCCCCAGAGGCACCGAAGTATCTGCAAGGGACCAACCCCGACGCACAAACGGGGAAGGGGACACAGGTGAGCTGGAGAGCCTCGTGCCGAGCCCATTCTGCGAGGACCGTTTGCACAGTCCCTCCCCCCACTGCCTGCTCACCTCCTTGGTGGCCCACTGAAAGCCGGCCACCACGCTGTCCTTGATCTCGTTGAGGTACTGCACACCCTTGGTGATGTCAGTCAGGATGTTGGGGCCAGTGCCGTCGGGCCCAAAGCACCATATCTTGCGGGCCTCAGCCACGTCCCACTCGTACTTCTCTGCCAGGTAACGGGCCCTCTGCTTGAGCTCCTGGCGGGCCGACACCTCACCCTTGTCGATGTCCTCTGCCAGGCCGTCAGGGAAGGGCCGCGCCTTCATGTACAGACGGTTGTGCTTGTTCGGGGACTTGGAGAGGCAGAGCACGTTCGACTCCTCACTGACAGTCTCCCGGTACGAGACCACCGGGTCGGATTTCTGCGAGAGGAGGCGTGGAACCGTCACACAGCGAAATGAGCAGGGGACCCGCCACAGAAAAGATGCAAAAGCTTTTCCTGCAAAGCTTATTAATAAGCATAAACTGACTGGCACAGATTTGGTTCACTACGCATTGTTGTTTACTTGTCCCAATCTGCCCTCTGCCGACAAGACTGGCTAGAGAACCCCCTGATCATACATGTTGCACGCAACTGACACCTAGGAGCTGGGTAAAAAGGTGCAGCGAGCAAGCATGACCAACTCAGCCTCATGTCAGCACATAGAGAAAAAACTGCAACAACTCTGTAATACGTTCTATGAACATTTAACTCCCATGAACAGAAACGAGAGAAACTAAAGAACTCAGGGACATACTGACAACAGCGTGCTCACAGTGAAGCTCCCCACCAGGCAGAGAGCTGTGCAGTTCTGAGCTTAGCTTGGAGAGCCAAGCACGGCACCCAGAGCACCCCCAGCAGGGCAAGGTGCTCCCGGATTCACCTATCTGTACACCTCAGAACAGTCTATACCAAATACTTGAGATTTCAAAAGCCATTAGCCACCACTCCTCCCCTCCCCTCCCCTTCAGAGCCTTCAACCCAAAGGCTTCCTTAGGACCGCAGGAACATGGTTTCCACCAGCGCTCTCTAACCCCCACCGCCGGCCTACGGACAGCAGCGTGCATCTGGCAGTGCAGGGCAAGACAAAGAGGTGGAGACACTGCCGGGGTCCTAAGGACCCAGCACTTGGGGCCCGTGACCCCAGGGGGTGGGGTGGCCCCCGCGGGCCGGCACTCACCTTGATGGGGATACAGGCGTGGTCCTCCTCCAGGTCCTTCAGGCAGATCTCCAGGTGCAGCTCGCCAGCCCCCGCGATGATGTGCTCGCCCGACTCCTCGATGATGCACTGAAAGGGGACAGAGCGTGAACGGCAGGGCGCACACTGGACGGGTGCTGGAGGCCCCAAGACCTCTAGGGTACAGGTACGAAGGCAGGCCCACGCTGACCCCCCACTGGGGCTTTTTGGGGAAGGTGTCGGGGCCTAGGAACACCTGCAGAGGCAGCACACATTCGGGGGGCCTTCTGGCTGGTTCTCAGCAGCCTTAACCCTTTACAGACCCACCGTCTACAGCAAACTTGTAGAAGCAGATCACTTATAAAAAAAGTAGCTGTTTAAGCTGGAAAGTTGTCATTTAAGAGGGCAACCATTCCTTCGGGGACCATGTGGGCAACAGGCCTGATGCCCCCACAGCAGAAAAAATGCTTTTTATTCAGCTCCACCCACTTCCGCCAGGGGCAAACCCGCCACTGTGCCCACTCCTCCTGCAGCGTGGGCCCACCTGCACCATGGGGTCCGACTTGGCCAGGCGCTTCAGGCCCTCCACCAGCTTGGGCAGGTCGGCGGGGTTCTTGGCCTCCACGGCAACCCTGACCACAGGGCTGACGCTGAACTTCATCACGCGCATGTTGTGGGCGTGCTCAAAGGTGGTGATGGTGCCTGTCTTCACCAGGAACTGGTCGACGCCCACCAGGCCCACAATGTTCCCGCATGGCACATCCTCGATGGGCTCCACATAGCGACCCATCATCAAGATCGTTCTGGGGGAGAGAGACCCAGACCGTCAGATGCTGAAGGCCAGACAGCAGGCCTCCCCGAGCCCAGCCCCAAGCCCCAGCTCCACTTGTAGCCAAAGTTCCTGTCTCCATGATAATCCTGGGTCCGGTACCCCAAGACCAACGACACGGCAAGGGGCCCCCCGTGCTGGCACTCCACCACCTGCCCCTACAGATGAGAGCTCAACTGTGAGACCAACGCCATTCAGGGCCCACCGCTGAGAGCACAGGGCAGACATCGGGCCTGTCTTCCCTGCCCCCGAGATGGGAGCCAGAGGAGCTTTGGAAACCGTGCCTGCTCTCCGGGTACACGACAGAACCGTTCCGCCATCACCTGGGCATCTGGAGGCCAAGGGTGAATCAGGGCCAACTGCACTCAGCCCTTACAGCTGGGGGGCCACTGCAGCCTGGCTTCCCCAGGGAGGTTCTTCATCCACCAACTGGAGGGAGCACTCAGTCTCCTCACTAAGGTGTGAGGATGAAAACGTGCCCAGAAATCCCTCAACCCCATGTTTTAGCAAACGTTCCTCAGAACTGTTACTCCTGAGTGTCGAGACAGGGCAGGGCCAGCAACGGCTGGGGAGCCATGACACACATCAGCTGGCCCTCGGGGTGTCCCCTGTCTACCCCGGGGCAGGCCCATGCGGACAGCTCACCTCTGGATTGGCTTCAGGTATAGGTCCTCCTTCTTCCCGGGCGTGTAGTTGGGCCCCATGATCCTGACCTTCAGGCCAGTGGACACCAACCCCGAGAAAACCCGTCCAAAGGCGTAGAAACGACCTTTGTCAGAGGTTGGCACCATTTTGGAAATGTACATCATAAGGGGGCCTTTGGGATCACAGCTTTTAATACCTGAGAAAAGAAGATTAATCCTTGCAGCAGAAACCTCCAGAATCCGGAAATCTGAGACTAGGCAGCAAGATACTTTCAGACCAGGAAACCAGAAATTGTTGCTCTCAAGGCCCTCGCCCACCCAGGACCCGCCCAGAGTGTGCTGGTGTCCCTGCGGCCTTGGCCGGGCGCCGCTGCCTCACTTACCCATGGCAGCCTCGTCGTCCGGGGGCCCCTCGTACAGGAGCTCGCAGCGGTACTTCTGGGCAGTCACAGGCGAGGGCAGGTGGATGGTGATCATCTGCAGCAGCGCATCCCCAGCAGGCAGCCAGCGGCGCATCACAGCCTAGGGACAGGCGAGAGGACAGTGTGGGGACACCCCAGGCCCTCAGAGCCCTGGGGGCCCTTCTAAAAGACAGTCTGTGGCGCAGAGAACCAGTGACGTCCACACCTGCGGCTGCTGCTGGCGATGCGGCCCAGGACACCGATCCCCCGGGTGAGCACCAGCACGACGCGCCCACCCTAAGGATCTGGGCTGAACCCCCCGAGCGCGGGCAGCCGAGCTGTGTCAGGGACCGGGGGCGAGGGAGCCCTCCTTGCGCACCTTCAGGAGAGGCTTGCCCTCCTTGTCCTTATCTTCGCTGTCCAGCTTGATGTCTAGTTTTTCGATCAGTTTTGCTGTCTCCTCTTTCCTGAAGTTCATGATTGCATCAAACACCTGAAACCACAGAAGGGTAGGGTTGACTCATCTGGGAGCAATGTGTATGGAAGCCCCCAGCTCAGAGACAAAGGTCAGGGGCAGAGCGGGGACATGGCTGGAAAGACCCAGTCTACGTGCTGCCAAGGATCCAGCCCATTGAACAAAGACAAGTAGAAATACTCACAGTAGATTAAGAAACAACAAAACCCACTAATTTATAGACCTTGTACAGATCTGATTTACAAGCACTGAATACCTGCCAACCGACCACACCAACACCCTTCCCTCTTGTCTTATCTCACCCTAACCTCCCCTTGTCGGAGAGGCACATCCAGCCCTATTTTTCTGTACAGAATCCAGTGACACCTTCCAAGGTCCGACCTCAGGGGTCAACATTCAGTTAACTGTCTTCCCCCGGCCCCCCTCTACAGGAGCCCTCATGCCCTGCGGCCCCCAGCACCTTTCCTCTATCCTGTGTGATCACTGCGGTGAGCCCTTCAGGAGCCATCGGGGCAGGTGACAACACTGCTGTCATCCCACACCCAGCAAGGGCCTCACCTTGAAGATGGGGTCCAGGATGAGCTGGCAGAACGTCCGGGGCAGCTTCTTGCCATCGGGGCTGGTAGCAGACTTACTGAACTTGCCGTTGGATGGGTCAAAATACCTGGCAGAGAGAAGACCCAACTCAGCCGGCTGTGTTGTGGGGGCCAGGGGTGTCACCACCCACAAACAAGGACAAAGAACACCAGAAGGCTTCTGGCACCATCTTGCGAATACCAGTCAGGACCCTGCCCACCCCTACAACTAGCAGAACTGCAGCCCCTAGTCTGTGTGCTGGCAGGACCCCCAACACGTCCCCACTCTCACCGGTCGCCCCAGAGCTTCTTCATCATGTCCTCCACTTTCCTGGCTCGCTCAGCAGGCCCCAGGTGGCCCTCACCCTTGGCGGCGAACTTGGCCACGTACATCTCAGCAAACTGCTTCAGGGTGAAGGCCCAGCCGTGGAGGCCAGACCCAAAGCCCACGGTACCAAGGACAGGGTCGATCTAAGGGGAGAGAGCACCATGGAGCTGGGGGAAGGGAACACTCGGGCAGGGACCACGGCCTGTAAGTTCCCGGGTACCGTGGGCCTCAGACACTGGGTTTCTTCAACAGACATCAGGTCAAAGTGAAGAAATTTCAGTCATCACGTGCTGGCACCCAGCCTGGCCTCCCTGCCCCCACAGCCCAGACCTCCGGCCTCCCCAAGGCGGCCAGCCCTGAGCCCGTCAGCACGTGCAGCCTCCTCCGAAGACCAAGGGCCAAGGTCACCTCAGAACAGTCCAACCCCGGCCCCCTAACGCTGTCCCGTGCCAGGAAATCTCCAGAAACTCCTCAAAGCTTCCGTTCCCCTAGGACAGCACCTGCTGGACAATAAAAGGCAGAGACCCCCGGTGTCTGCCGGGGGCGCGGGCAGCCCCGTACCATGATGTTGCCCATGGGGCCGCTCTCGCCCTCGCCGTAGGTGGAGATGATGACGTTGACGTTCTCCACGATGCGCTGGAAGGTCTGGTAGAGCTCCTCGGGTTCCAGCTGCAGCTCCAGCAGGGCCCGGTCCATCTTGTTCATCATCAGCACGGGCTTGATACGCTCGGCGATGGCCTGGCGCAGGACAGTCTCTGTCTGCACACACACACCTGGGGGCGGGACGGACGGTCACCCAGAGGGGGGGGGCCCGAGGCCCCCACCCACACCGCAGGGGGACACGGAGCTTACCAGACACGCAGTCCACCACCACCAAGGCACCATCAGTGACACGGAGGGCAGCTGTCACCTCCGAGGAGAAGTCAACGTGGCCGGGCGAGTCAATGAGATTGATGAGGAAGCCGGAGCCGTCCTTACTCTGCTTGATGAAGTTCAGGTCGTTCTCCGAAAGCTCGTAGAAGAGGGAGATGGCGCTGAGGACAGACAAGAGCAGGCCTTACAAACGGATGGACGCAAGATCCGATTTCACCTCCTGAGATCCCTGCGCTCGGCCTGGGTTTCTGCCCTAGCGGGTAAGTCATCTGGCCCCCAATTCCCAGGTTAAGGCAGAGATGCCAGTAGATCCAGCCTGACCTCTCAGAGCAACACACTGACCTGTCCCCCAGCATCGCTCATCCCTGGAACAGACCTCACATGTTAAGAGCCACTCATGGCATCCTCGGCCAGGGATCCTCCCCTTCCTGGGGACCCCCAATCCCCCCTCCAAGGTCACTCACACCTCCTCTCTACCAAGCTAAAACTTAGAAACCCAAGACTTACTTGCCCTTCTCCTGGCCCAGTTAAAATGAGTAACTGCAAAAGACCAAGAACAGCCTCCAAGTTACCAACTTAGGACGACTCCGCCTAGAGTCGGTCTCAGCCTGGGCACTACACACTTGCAGGGACATAGTCCCTTGTGGTGGTGGGCAGCCCATCCTATGCGTCACAGCAGTTCCGTAACAACCCCAGCAGCCTACAGCATCCCTCCCAGCCGTGACAACCAACAGCTTCCCCAGACATTGCCAAGTGTCCCTTGGGGACAAAATTGCTCCCCAGGAGTGGGAGACTACTGGGTCAAGCCTCCTCCTCTCCCTGAGGCCCCCAATCCCTGCCCAACCCTGAGTCCCTCACACTAGCGGCCAGCAGCATCTCACTAGATTATATCTTCCTGTGGCTGGGAAGACCAGCCCCCGGTCCCCAAGGTGACGGTACATGATGTCACCATCCCTCCCCGGGAGGATGACGATGGTACATGCTGTCACCATCCCGTCCAAGGCCACTCCCTGCCCGGGTCGAGAGAACACCGGGGACTCACGTGGACTTGATGGTGATACAGCGCTCCTGCTCATCCTTCCGAGTGTCAGTGAAGCGGGTCTCCCCAGCCCGGGCGGAGGCAATGATGCCGGCCTTGCAGACCAGGGAGTCGGTCAGCGTGGACTTGCCGTGGTCCACGTGGGCAATGACCGACATGTTTCGGATATTGGCCTTCTTGTCCATGATGGCCCGGATCTGGTCTACTGTGAAGTTCACCTGGCGGAGGAGGGAAGACAGGATTCCAGGAACCAGCCTGGCACTCAGAATCTGGTCGATACAACAGCCAGGCCCACAGCCTGGAGCAGGCTGGTCCTAGAGTACCCCCAACTCCCAACCTAACTTCCGGGTCTCCGTGCTGCTCACCCAGATACTCTGAAAAACCCTCCCAAATCTCCACAGCAGCTGATTTCAGCTGTCATTTGCTGATGACTACTCACAAAGTGGCCTGTGGAGTCTCTCCCCGGGTGACAAAATTCCCTTCAAATCAGGTACAAACATGGTGATAGCAGTTAAACAATGCCGGGAGATGGGGCCTCCCCCAAGACTCCGAAAGCAGAGCCAATAAGCTACCCCGCTTTCCAACCCCCAAAAACCTCTGACATCCAAGGTCACCCTTCTGCTTGGAGTTATTCACAGAGATCCTTCCCACCCCTCAAATTCCTAAACATCCTCTCTCCTAGGCAACGAGAGACCTTTCGCAGCCCTAACAAGCGCCAACCTCTACCTCGTGGCAAAAAAAATCAGTTTTTTGCAGCTGAGAGACCCGGAAAGGACAATGACCAAGGTTACCCAGTATTTCAAGGAGAACGGGGGTTCTCCGGTCTCGGTTGCCTCCCTTCGCCATTTTCCTGCCGTCCACAGCCCACGGACAGAAAACGGAGCTCAAACTCGCGGCCCGTGGGTTACATAAGGCGCCTCCCTCTCTCCCCGTGGCAGCAGCGGCGCCCGCCATTACAGCGCCTGCCACATCATCATACCCCCACGCCGCCTTCACCCCGGCTCCCGCCGGGTCCGGGCTCCGGCAAGGCAGCGGCGCCCCCGGAAGCAGAGAAGGGGCTCCACCGACAGCGCTGCACGCAGACATGGCGGCGGCCGCTTCCTCAGCCCCGAGCCCACCGCCGCCATGTCTCTTCCCGTGCCGGGCGCCCTCAGCGCACCAGGCTCTGCAGTGCCGGCTTCTCGGAGGCCCCACCTCAGTCCCGGGCCGCCGGACGGACGGCGTTACTCACCATAGTGGCGGATGGCAGTGGATTCTCCCAGGCAGATACGAACGAGGCGAGTCGCGCCAAGGATGGCGGCGACGACGGCGGAAGAGAACGCTGACGTCAACACTCGGCCTTTTATAGGCCGACGCCGGTTGGGCGGGTCATCTGACCGCCCAGCGGGGGCAGGGCAAGGCGACGCCATGCGCAGGCGCACGGACGCTTTCCTCCGGTTAACCCATTACACGCCGGAGCGGCTGCCGTAAGATCGATGCCCCGAGCCTGGGTTTCCGACCGGCGGTGGTCAGCTACCGGTTTGGTGCACGCCTCCGGGATACAATATTCAGGTTCACAAAGCGACGTGCACCGCTTTCGCTGAGAATAATGATAACAGCAACTATATTAGCCTGCAAAATGCCAACCACTTATTCTGAAAACACATTACAGTTTGAGTAGGGTCTGCGGGTTGTACCAATGTCAGTATCCTGGTTTTGATATTGTTATGTAAGATGATCCCACTGGGTGAAGGGTACTCGGTCCTTCTCTGTACTATTTTTTACAACTCCCTGTGAGATAATAATTATTTCAAAATAAATTTTTTAAAAAAAGTATTAATCACTCATTTATTCAACAAATACAAGTTAAGTGTATGTTGCGTCGCTGATAAAAGCAGCCGTCGTGGCACACTGGTTAAGCGCTCCACTGCTACTTGAAAGGTCGGGGGTTGGAAGCCAACAGGCGCTCAGCCGCTGAGCGGAAAAAAGATGGGGCAGTCTGATTCTGTAAGGATTTACAGCCTTGGAAACCCCATGGGGCAGTTCTGCTCTGTCCTGTTGGGTCGCTATGAGTCAGAATCCAATCGGCAATGGGTATGTGCCAGGCATAGTTATAGGTGTTGTGGATACAGCAATGAACAAATAAAACACCTTACTAGCTCCACCACAGTTACTTTAATTTCTGTGCCTGTTTACCATCTGTTTTTCTGAAATGGGAGTCCTCAGTACTACGTCACTGTTTTTTGGGGGAGTAAAATGAGTTAAATACATGTGAAGAGATTAGCACCGTGCTGACACACTGGAACTCTCCGTGAGCCACTTTAATTAACTTCCATTGATATTAATAAGACAGCTATTTATTTCAGGGGTTGGTGCGTATCTCAGTCACGGGGCTAAGCGCTTTAACTATCCAATCTCATTTTCTATCTCGGCTCCTTTCCAGGGGGAGGTGCAAGGAAGACTATTGAGCATTTGGGTCCTAATCTGACCCGAAGAAATAGTTGTATTTCGGATCTTTGGCTCGTGCGGACGAACTGGCATTCAATTCCGTCTCTTTATGCTTTGAGTCCTGCTCAATGCCTGGCACGTAGGAGGCGCTCACTAAGTATTTAATGTATCCATGAATGATGCTCTCACTATCTCGGATAAACACCCTCCAGTACACCTTCCCCTAAACTCACCCTGTAAAAAGCAAAGCACTGCAGTGCTTTTCCTGGGCTGGGAGAGGGGGAGGGCCACAAAAAGCCGTGCAAATTCACCAAAGGACTCCAAAATAAATCTGCACACCGCCCCGCAAGTCCAGGGCACATTTTGCTTTGCGCTGTCGCAGCCCTGATTTCACTGAATCGATGATTGCTCTATCACCACCCCGCGTTTAACCTAGGAGGAAACGGACGCAGGCAGGCGCTGCTCAATAAATATCTACTGAAAGATCCAGGCTCAGAGCGGCAGAGGGCATGCCAGGCAGCAGGTGCCCGCACCCCCCTCCCCAACTCAGCCTGGATCTTTAAACATCAACACCTGTGTTCTTGACACGTCTGATGTTAATTTTACAAGTCAATTGCATGCGCCATTCAGCAGATGCGTTTCCGGTTTCTCTTTTTCAATCATTTATTTTTTAAAGTCTTTAAGCAGCTACTGTGTGCTAGGTCCCGTATTAGGCACTGCGCAGCTGTTTGTCATTTCTTCCTTGCAAATTGGGCGCATTTAAGAAATGACGTGCAAAGATTTTCATTAGAAAAGGGAGTTGACTTTACCCTCAGGTAAATAGGTAGCTCATTGAAAAAATTTAACGCAAATTCAAGGTGGGGGGGGAAGAGTTTAAGAGGAATAGGGAAGATTGAAGTCCCTCCCGCCCCCGCTGTAGTGCCTCCATGGAAAGGGATTCAGGACCCTCCCCCCAGCTGCCAGATGTTGGCCAGAGCTGATGGGGATCTCTCCCCAACTCCAGCCCCATCCCTGCCTTTGGCAGAAGCCTATGGGAGGAGCAGGGAGGGGGGCTTCGGCTGAGAGCCAAAGCAGCCACAACCAGGTTCAGGGTCTGCAGTCATAAACAGGCTGGGGTGAAGGGCGGGCAACAGAAATATCAACACAAAAGTCCCCTCTGCAGGAAGGCTCAGCTGCGCATGCGCCCGCTGCGGCGACCGGAAGGGCGGGGAGACGATGACAGCGACCCCTGCTGACCAGTGGCTGCCACTGCACACCGCTCCTTTCTGCCTTCGATATGTATTAACTCATTGCCCTTGAGTCAATTCTGACTTGTTGAGAATGAGCTCCTAGTAAGTGCTGGCCCCAAAGAAACAAAGAAACCCGTTGCTGTCGAGTCGATTTCGACTCATAGCGACCCTATGGGACAAGTGGAACTGCCCCATAGGGTTTCCAAGACTGTACATCCTTTAAATCAAGTAATTCATTTCCTTCTCCCCACGCCCTGAGCTTTGTACGAATGAGGCTTCTAAGGCTCAAAGAAGTTGATTAGCCCAAGATCACATAGCTAGGAAAGGCAGAGCCGAATATGACTCAAAAAGGCATGCTTTAATCGGGAAGCAATTCTGCAAAATTCTGTTTGCTAGATGTGTTTCAGATTTGGTTCATGGAAACTAGACATCCTGAGTGTAAAGTCTGATTCTGACCCTTCCCTGGCTATGTGACTTTGGACAAGTTACTTAACCTCTCTGAACCTCAGATTTTGCATGTAAATTATGGAATAACAATAGAACTTATTTTATGGGGCTCTTATGCAGCTTAAAGACATTAATATAAATAAAGCACCCAGCACAATGCCTGGTATGTAGAAATCACTGTTTGCTCCCCTTCTGGGATAGAAATGCTAGGTTTTAAATATTGCAATCATTCCATCTACACGCATTTATTAGGCACCCACCATATGCTGCGTTGATGGTTTGAGTCCACACGGAGGTGCCTCAGAAGAAAGGCCTGGCAGTCTACTTCCGAAAAATCAGCCATTGAGAACACAATGGGGCAATTGGGTCACCATGAGTCAGAGTTGACTCCATGGCAACTGGTTTGGTGTTTTTGTTTTGTTTTACATGCTGAGCAGGGTTGGGATCGGGGTGAGGACAGTGAGGCACCAACTTCAGGCATGACATTTAAGGGGGCTCCAAAAAACTCATGAGTCAAGATAATAATGTTTAATACATTTTTAAATAAAAACAAATTCAGAAAAAAATCCACGATGAACAAAAGATCAAAATTTCCGTAAGCAGTGAGTGCTAACTGCATCACTCAGGGACTTTATCATAGGGATAGCTAACAATTACCCACTGCAGTCGAGTGATTTCAACTCATAGCGTTTCCAAGGAGCAGCCAGTGGCTTCGAACTGCCTACCTTTATGATTAGCAGCCGAGCACTTAACTACTGTGCTACCAGGGCTGCAGGTCACAGTGACAGAGGCATAAACTGAGTCTCAGAGGGAGGTCTATACCCTGTCCTTGTTGTTGTCAATTCCAACTCATGGCGACCCCACTGTGCAGAGTAAAGCTGCTCCATAAAGTTTTCAAGGCTGTGGCTGGTAGCAGAGCACTTAATCATTTAAGCCACCCAGGTGCTCCAGCTTGCCCTTAGGGACCTAGATTAGAGCTCTTAGCAAGCTGTTTCGCATTTCTTTGCTTTTAAGCTGCCCCTGAAACCTCTAGAAGGAGCCCTAGTGAGGCACAGGTTAAGTGCTGGGCTGCTGAGAAGTCGGCAGTTTGAACCCACAGAGCCACCCTGCAGTAGAAAGACCTGGCAAACTGCTCCTGTAAAGATTACGGCCTAGAAAACCCTATGGGGCAGTTCTGCTCTGTCACAGCGGGTTGCTATGCATGGTTGCTCAACTTTTCCCTTAGTTTACCACTGCTCCGTTAACCCAATTCCTCATATCCCTTGCACCCATTTGGTTCAGCAAATATTTCCCGGGAGCCTGTCGCGTGCCAGGCCCTATCCTCAGCAGAGGGGACACAAGAGCAAAAGAAGCAGACAAGAATCCCTGCCCTCCTGGCGCTGGTCTTCTGTGACTTTGTAGCACAAAAGCAGCCATGGAGAACACAGGAACGAATGGGCGTGGCTGGTGCCAATCAAACTTTATTGATGACCTTCAAATGGAACTGCGTGTAGTTTTCAGGTGACATGAAACATTACTCTTCTTTTGCTTGTTTGCAACCATTTAAAAATGTAAAAACCATCAAATATTTGCACAAACCAAACCTTTCAAGGTGTGCTAGGAAGGAGGAGAGAGTGAATAGTAAGAAGATACAACAGGGAAAGGCGATGATCTAGACTGGGAATCAGGAGGACTTCCTGGAGGAGGTGACCCTTTTTCTTTTCCTTAATTGTGCTTTAGGTGAAAGTTTACAGAGCAATCTAGTTCTCATTCAAAAATTTGCACTCAAATTGTTTTTGTGACATTGGTTGCAATCCCTGCAATGTGTCAGCACTCTCCCCCCTTCCCTTTCTACCCCAGGTTCCCCGTGTCCCTTCGTCCAGGTTTCCTGTCCCTTCCTGCCTTCTCTTTGCTTTTGGGCAGGTGTTGCCCATTTGGTCTCCTACACTTGATTGAATTAAGAAGCACGTTCCTCCCGTGTGTTATTGTTTTACAGGCCTGTCTAATCTTTGGCTGAAAGGTGGACTTTGGGAGTGCCCTCAGTTCTGAGCTGGCAGGGTATCCAGGGGCCATAGGCTTGGGGGTTCCTCCAGTCTCTGTCAGACCAGTAAGTCTGGTCTTTTTTTTGTGAGTTAGAATTTTGTTCTACATTTTTCTCCCGTTCCATCCGGGATCCTCTATTGTGATCCCTGTCAGAGCAGTCGGTGGTGGTGGCCGGGTACCATCTAGTTC